ATTTAACTACAGTTTTGTTTTACATGATATGCCATGTACGGAATGGAGATTGTCTACTGATGTATTTGGGAATATGCAGTGAGTTCTCATTCTCTTCCAAACGCGACTCCCGTACCAGTGTCTGAAAAAACCAGGAGAACGATTTTTTTTTTTTTAATTATACCCACACAGATAATAAATGCTAATACGTGAAGAAACTGGAACGCGTTCACTAGCGTCAAAGTCACAGAATGGAACAGTTCTGTTCATATTTATTTATTTATTTATTTTATTTTAATTATGTTATTATCATTGTTGTTGTTGTTGATATGTATTTGCTTGCTGCGAGGGAAGAATGCTAAAAAAAATGTGATCACACTAGGACTCGAGCATTGTAGTACTCGCATACGAGTCGACAAGGAGGAAAAGTGTTTAATTTAACTACAGTTTTTCCCCGTGTGGGTTCCGGTGCCCGTTATGAGGACAAATAAGAATAGGCCCACTGCCTACCCAAAAGCATGTCGTAAGAGTCGACTAAATGGGAGCTTTCTTCAAAGTAGAATGCATCTGCCTGAGAGGCAAGGAACCAGCAGTCTGCATACAAATGAGTCAGATCTATAAAATGGATGCACACGCAGCACTCCGGTTCTGGAACAGGACTGCAGATCAGAAGTGGATGAACAACCAGAACGTTCTGCAAGAGTTTACAGCTGGTGAACGCCAAGAAGAAGAAGACTAATGTTTTGTTTTACATGATATGCTATGTCCAAAATGGAGATTGCCTACTGATATATTTGGGAATATGCAATGAGACCGCAGTCTCTTAGACGATGCGATTTCCATATTGGTGTCGGGGGAAAAAAAAGGAGAAACGGATGTTTTTATCCTAATCTACTAACCCAGAAATTAAGTGCTAATACGTCAAGAAACGAGCAGGCAGATAGACTGGCCGGTTCTGCACCACTTGGTGATGAATTGATGTATGACAAGCAAGATGTTGTAAGGGACTTTTTGGAGCAAGTGGACAGAGCGGAAGCATAAATAGATCTTTACGTCATTACGGTCTGCGGAGAGTGACGTTGCGAAGAGTTATCAGTTAATCTGGCCGATGCTCAACACTCAAAGGAAAGGCGAGGCATATATACAATCAAACAATTACTGTTGACATCGGAATTCAAACTCTTCGCTTGCTGCTGAAGATGGGGACGGAGCGTTATGGGTGTGTCTCGATTGCTATGATGTGGATTCTTAATTCAACATTTAACGTAAAGAAATCGGAAGGCGTTCATTGGCGTCAAAATCACAGAGTGGAACATAGTTTTGTTTCATTTATATATATATATATATATATATATATATATATATATATATATATATATATATATATATTTTTTTTTTTTTTTTTTTTTTTTTTTTTTTAATGTATAGAAACTATGAGTTGTTAACTCTTTGGCTGAAAACTATCGCAACACTTTGGCTTTGATTCCATAACAGATACCGTAAATCTGGGAAATATGTGCCTTCTCTGCCTACTCCTGTGAGTGAACCCGGACCACAAGGCGTTCGTCACCCAGCCGCCGTTCAGCCCACTAAGCTAACACGCCGAGATATTTATTAATTTTTTTTATTTGTGTATGTATTGCAATCAATTAATAATATCCTAAATCTTGCAGGCGTCGGCGATACTGTCCAACTTAGATGCCCTCTACTTTCGCAACCCAGAAAACCCAGTCGTGCAACCGACCAGACCACTGCTGCCACGGATGTTTGTGCACGGACTCCAACAGCACGTCAGTCAACTTCCGGTGCAGAGTTCGTCTGCTCTCTACCCCACAGACAACAGAGGCTGAGCACACACATCGATGACGACACAGCATGAGCACACACATCGATAACGACACAGCATGAGCACACACATCGATGATGACACAGGATGAGCACACACATCGATGACAACACAGGATGATCATACACATCGATGATAACACTGTTGGAGAGACTGAGAACTTTCAAAAAACACTGGTCGTTTTCATAAAGTAGGGAAGAAGGGGGTGTGTTTCAGAAATTCATGTGATTTAAAAAAAAAAAATTATGTATAAAGGTAAACTTGCAAAAACACATGTAAAAATATCTGAACACATTTTGTTCGGAATACTCCTAAATCGCTAGGAACTCTCGAGGCAACTGAAATAATACGATGAACCAATAACCTCTTACTTGTTGTAAGAAGCAACAAACAAAGGCGCAGATATCGCAGCCTAGCTGTGAACCACAACGCAAAGTTCTAGCTGCCTTGTACAGACGAACGCTGGCACTCAGAGATGCCGAATTGTCGTTTGATTTATTTGTGTATTCTGCGTCATTTAGAACATTACAGTCTGTTTATCACGTAGATCTTTCTAAACTGTGTGTCGCGACACATTAGTGTATTGGATGCAGTGTGAAGGTTTGTCCCGCGAAGGCAAAGTGTTAAACAGTATAATCAGCACACAAAATACACTTCAACCTCTGGTTGGCGGGCAGACTGAGTTACCGTGTCGCAAAACTGTGTTGGTCTTACAAGTGTGTCAAAAACTTGAAATTTTAGAAAACTCGTTTTGTATGCCCGTGCTGCAGAAAGGCTGCGCTGACAGTTCTAATGATAGAGAAATATTCCATTTATATCATAAATTATATAATTCATTGTTTGTATTACTTTGTAAAGTGGAATTTGATAAACTGAGATAAAGTACCCTTTCCAGGCTTTCGGCAAAGAGGGCTAGACCATAAACACTTTGTGGGTGATGTGGTTAAACTCACGCCGGTCGCCCTAACGTCCCAGGACTTTACCTGGTTCACATTTAAGGTTGGATTGACCTGGATGCTACGGTCATTTTTCAAGAGGATTTTTTAAAAAGTCCGGTTCAGTTTGTACCTGAATGCACGTCCTTCTGATCCGCAGGCGAGCGGCTAGCCACTACACCACAGTGGCTGTCATAAATTAAGAGGTATTATTGTAAATGTCGGCTCTGTGGCTAAGTCGATGCGAACGCTTCGCTTCGAAATGCCGGGATGCCGGGTTCGATCCCAGTTACGGGCAATGCGCCTTGCGTTGTTTTCGACAGTGGTATCAAGAAAGCCGACCGTCCAGTAGGCAATGGCAAACTACTGGACGTAAATTTGCCAAGAGAAACCACACAACAGCCAGGGGCTGTTAGGGTTGGTTCTGCAACGTCCTGTAAAGGATACGCAACTAACTTTTTTTTATTGTAAATTTTTATGATTAACTGATTTATCTAGCGATCTATCGAATGAACGATTGATCGAATCGGTGAATGATTCATTGACTCGGTAAGCTGTAGCTAAAGTCGAGAGGATCGGCAGCATTGTACAGGGTGTTCCCCCTTGTGTCTTAGTCCCTCTGCGCAGAACTGATAGCTGCCTCCATAGAGTACGAACTCTGCAGCTAAAGCGACGGACGACAATGTTTCCGTACAAATTGCTTTCGTAAACCGAACGACTCTGTTCATGAAACGAATCCACGATCTTTAGTGTGAGGGAAAACGCTTGAGATCCCCCGATAATCACAAATATCACATCTCTGCTGTTACCAGGCAATTATATCCACATACAATACAACAAAAATATGGGACAAAGAAAAATAAAGAGAAAATGAATTGAAAAGCGCCCGCACGCACACTTACACACACACACACACACACACACACACACACACACACACAAACGAACAAACACACACACACACAAATGGACGAAAAAAGAAAATTAAAAGCTGAATTTAAAAACACACACATACACACAAACATGCATAATACACACCCGTATGGACAAACACAAATATACATGCACAAACATACACATCAGTATGCGCGCGCACACACACACACCTACATACAAACATACTATACTCCGATATGCACACACACATACATACATATAATTAAACAGACACACACCCAAATACACGCCCATATGGACACACATATAAATACATACACAATACCTATATGAACACATAAACATAAACACAAATACATACACCACAAAAAGAAATACCACAACTGGCGCGTATACCACCCCCCCCCCCTTCCCCAACCCCCCAAACCCACCAGCCCCAGATTGTAATTTGTAGTATTGACATCTCAAGAATGAGAATCAAACCGGTACCAACCCTGGACACCCCTTTGAACCGTTTAACTACATAGAGTTAGTTGCGTACACTTTACAGGACGTTGCAGAACCAACTCCATCCTTTTTTTTCGCTGTTGTGGTTTTTCCTATGCAAGTTTACGTCCAGTAGTTTGCCATTGCTTCCTGGACGGTCGGCTTCTCGTAACCACTGTCGAAACCAACGCAAGGCGCAAGGCCCGCAGAGGGAATCGAACCCGGAACCCCGGCATTACAAAGCGCGTTCGCGCCTAAGCCACAGAAGCCGACTTAACCACATATCACAGTTATACTGTGATGCCATGAAAGAGGAAATAAAATGTAGTCCATCGTGGCTATGCTTGACACTCTTTGTTTGCCCAAACTTTAACAGAACAATCGGAAGTTGATACCTGAAGTAGTAACCCTCCTTTACTTCTTGAAGGCATATGGGTATCGGATTGTAAATTTGTATAGAAGTGTTCATCATCATCATCATTATCCCGTAACATAACGTGTCGTTGGATGACCAGTTTCTGTTGACTGTCTATCAACTCTCTCCACCTTTGGCGGTCAGTTTGCGATGGACTTCATGGTTGCATGCCTGAGGCCTGTCCAGTCAGTCAGGTTCTGTAACCAGGTCTTTCTTGGTCTGCCTCTTCTCCTCTTCACCTCTACTAAATCCTTGCAGTATTGTTTTTGAGAGACCGTTAAATCTTTTTACATGTCCACACCATTGCATTTTTCACCTTTTCCCTGTATTCAAAAGAGATACAAGTGTTCAGCAGACCTTATTTAAAGTCATTTATAAATACGACTCGTTGTGTGTAGACTACTTCAGGCTAGGTATAATATAACAATTCTGCTTGCTTTATTTAAATTTCGACGCGTGTTCAGTTCACGACACTTCAAGATGTTTAATTATACAATGATACCTCGGCTAACAAAGATAGTTCGTTACAGAATCAGATTGGCTAGCTAAAACCTTCGTTAGCCGAAGCATAATTTCCAGGAGGTATCTAGAGAAAATTCAGGTCACCGGGTCTTCGCAATATGTTAGCGCGCGCACTTCGTTAACCGAATCCGAATTCGTTGGCCAAGATCCCCCACCCCCCCCCCTCCCTTTTTTTCACACACGAAAAGAACAACAAAGAAAATGGTCTCCGTTACCAAAACTTCGCTAGCCGGATCACTCGTTAGCTCAGGTGTTACTGTACGTCATTTGTTCTGGGTTATGAACATGTGCATATCATTCATGTATGTGACATAACATTATGCATACTGTATGCTAGTTCTGTACTGTCTCTGGGTTATGAACGTGTGCATGTAATGACTGCACGGAATCAGTAAATATGGTTTATCTAACAAGAGTGTCCACACACAGAAAACGCTATGACGGCTCCTGGGCCCCATTTGGAAAGGGGATGTGGGGAGGGGAAGGAGGGGGTGGATCCACTAACACGCTAACAAGCAAGTCGTAAAAGACGTATAATTACGCTATGTGTTCTTCACTGAAGACAAAACACATCTTCTTGAGGGGCGAGGAACCAAGAGCCTGCACACAAGTAAGCCAGATCTGTAAAACGGGATGTGCATGCTAAACGCAAGTTCTGGATTAAGTATGAGGTCCAGAAGTGGACACATATTCATTGAAGTTATGAAGGGAAATCATTGTCGGGGGTCGCCACAAGGTGAGGGAACTCTAGCAAAGGATCGCGGCATTAGGAAACTTGAGAGTCGCTTGTCACAAGCCACTGAAAGTATTGTTATGAGGTGTACTACATCTGATGGAAAGCCCATATTGCTCGTGATTTCCTAATGTTTCTGCTGTTGTACGCAGTTGTCAAATGCCTGTGAAAAATCTACAAAATATAAAAATAGAACCTACTGATGCCTATAGTCGAATATGTTCATTAAACAGGTTTGACAATAAACTTCTATCACTGACCAGCATACGTGTTCCTATGCTTTAAAAAAAAATTGTGATGATTATGTCGCTCAAATATATTTGTCTGCTGCAACGTGATTTCACTACTGTCTGTAGTAGTAACATTGGTGGTAAGAGCAGTTTGTGTTGTTGCTGCTGCCGCTGCTGCAGAAGTGTTGTGTAGGAGTTGTTATTGTTGATGTTGGTTCTACGGTTGTTGTTTAGTCCTAGAAGGAATAGTTGTATTAGTAGTAGTAGTAGTAGTTGTTGTTATTGTGACTGATGTTGTTGTTTCTGCAAATACTGTTGCATTTTAGTAATAATAGAAGTTGCAGTAGTGGTGGTGGTAAAAGCACTAGTACAGTAGAACCTCGCTAAATGAGCACCTCTCATAGCAAGTAATTCGCTTAACGAGCACCTCTCATAACGAGTAATTCGCATAACGAGCAAAACAAATTGTGAAAGAATGACTCGCTTAACGAGCAACGTTTCGTATAACGAGTGGTGAGGTGTGAGAAAGTCCCGGATTTTGCGCATGTTACATCAGTCTGTGTTTAGCAATCGTTCCAGTAGCATTGTCTCTTGTGATCATACATTTTCTCAAACTTGTGTTATATTATGATATATGTACAAGAATCCTCCAGGCCTACAAGATGACCTCCCTGATGAATTTAAGTTAATCAAGATCCAGTTTCTGCCTCCCAAAACTACTCCGTTACTCCAGCCAATGGACCATCAAGTTATTTCTAACTTTAAGAAGCTCTACACTAAAGCACTCTTCGAGCATTGTTTTCAGGTGACTGAGG